ACCATCCAGTAACGGCCTCAAGGCACTGAGGGAAATTCTCAAGCCAGCCCTCCATCCTCAGAATGAACTGAGTGTCATCAGCGTACTGGTGGCACTCAAGCCCAAAGCTCCACACCAGTCGGGCAAGCGGTCGCATATAGATGTTAAATAATAGAAGAGAGAGAATAGCTCCATGCGGGACCCCGCAAGTTAGCGGAGATCTCTCAGAAACCATCCCTCCCCTCACCACACGCTGTCCCCGATTCTGGAGGAAGGAGGACACCCATTTAAGGGGTATCCCCCTAACCCCAGTCATGGCTAGGCGGTGGGTCAATAGATTGTGATCGACCGTATCAAATGCTGCTGTGAGGTCCAATAACACAAGCAGCACTAATCCGCCTTGATCCATCTGGCAGCGAAGCTGATCTGTGATGGCAATTAGTACAGTCTCCGTCCCGTGCCCCCTACGGAAGCCGGACTGGAAGGGATCAAGTCCGGCTGTGTCATTAAGGAACTGCTGCAACTGTTCCGCTGCTGCCCTTTCAACCACCTTGCACAGAAACGGAAGATTCGAGACTAGGCGGTAGCTAGAGGGAACCGAATGATCTAAGTCTGGTTTTTTTCCGCAGCGGAGATACCATCGCCTCTTTTAAATCTTCTGGGAAAAACTCCTTGCTCAAGGGAAATATTTATTATATTCATCAGAGGTTCACGTAATCCCTCCAGGCAAGATTTTACTAGCCAAGAGGGACATGGATCAAGGGAGCAGGTGGTCAGCCTAGTTACAGTCAGGATCCTATCGACAGCCTCTGCATCCAGCGGGGTAAACCGGTCGAGGATGTGCCCAGCGAGTGGCCACGGAGTCTCAAGTTCACTTACTGTATCAATCGTGGCAGGGAGATCCCGGCAGAGAAGCGAGATCTTGTCTGCGAAGTAGCTCTGGAAAACCTCAGCAGAAGGGGCCAGATCATTATTGTTTGGGACAGAAGGGATTGTTGTCAGGGATCTAATAATCTTAAATAATTGTGCTGGGTGTGAGCTCGCAGACGCTATCAAGGAAACATAATAAGATTTTTTGGCCTTGGTGATAGCATGCTCATAAGACTCTCTAAAATTCTTATAAGCTGATTCCGATTCCCCATCACGGAGTTCCCGCCACACGACCTCTAGCTGTCTCTTTTCCCGCTTCATCGCACAGAGCTCCTCAGTGAACCAAGGAGACCGATTCTTATGGGGTCGGAGAGGGCTTCTAGGGGCGGTCTAGGGGAGATTCTAACAGGTTAAATTATGAAGCAGTATATAAAAACTTTTCCTTCTTTCTTTTTTCTTTTTTTACAAAGTTTAGAAATGGCTCCCAGTCCAGAAATGTGTGTAGGGCTTTTTATGTGCACCTGAATATTGAAAGTGTTTTTTCATGCACAGAACCAAGTTTCCTTTTATTTCAATGAATGTTAATTAATTCCGCCTTACAGAACTGTTTCTGCTCATTGGATTTGAAAGCTTCCTTGCATGAACCTCTTACTTCAATTCCTTTCACAACATATTGTCAGACTTTCAGTCCAGTCTTTAAACCATTCTAAAGCATGGGACCTCTTTTTAGCCATTTTGGTCCATCTGATTTCAGGTTTAAGACTGTTGCCATGTCACATACCCCACTTTCAGTTCAGCTTCAGCTACTGGATGGATGGTCTGTCTGGTTTTGTAGAATTTTGTAAGGCATTGAGAAATGTGGTTGTTGTAGTCCAAAGACATCTTCTGAAGGGCCACATTCTTCTCACCCTTTGGACACTGCTTCCTTTCATAGACTTTTTGAGAATAATATGTAGAACTTCCACTTAGAATAAACAGTTCTTCTCCTGTCCTGCACCACCTCTGACTATAATAAATTATTTTGGATCCTTTTCTACTGAAATGTTTAAATTACATTGTTTAATAGCAAAATTGTGTTGTTGGAAATTTATAATGGTTATAAACATTTGTTAGAGGTGTTGGAGGAAAATTCGGAGAGTGGACCACAAGAAGATTAAACCAGTCCATAATCCAGGGAATAAAGCCCAACTGCTCATTGAAGTGAAGAATATTAAAGGCAAAGATAAAGTACTTTGGCCAAATAATGAGAAGACAGGATATCTTGGAGAAAATAATGATGCTGCAGAAAATGGAAGAGGGGCCAACCAAGGCCAAATGGCTGGATGTTGTCCTTGATGGGGGACGAGTGGCTCGAGAGCAGTACGTGTGAAAAAGATCTTGGAGTCCTTGTGGACAACAAGTTAAACATAAGCCAACAATGTCATGTGGTAGCAAAAAAAGCCAATGGGATTTTGGCCTGCATCAATAGGAACATAGTGTCTAGATCCAGGGAAGTCATCCTCTACTCTGCCTTGGTTAGACCATACCTGAAATATTGTGTCCAATTCTGGGCACCACAATTGAAGAGAGATATTGACAAGCTAGAATGTGTCCAGAGGAGGACGACTAAAATGATCAAGGGTCTGGTGAACAAGCCCTATGAGGAGCGGCTTAAGGAGCTGGGCATGTTTAGCCTGAAGAAAAGAAGGTTGAGAGGAGACATGATAGCCATGTATAAATATGTGGGAGGAAGTCATAGGGAGGAAAGAGCAAGCTTGTTTTCTGCTGCCCTGGAGACTAGTACATGGAACAATGGCTCAAAATTCAAGAAAGGAGATCCCACCTGAACATTAGGAAGAACTTCCTGACTGTGAGCGCTGTTCAGCAGTGAAACTCTCTGTGGTGGAGGCTCTTTCTTTGGAAGCTTTTAAACAGAGGCTGGATGGCCATCTGTCCGGGTGCTTTAAATGCGATTTTCCTGCTTCTTGACAAGGGATGGCTCATGAAGTCTCTTCCAACTATGATTCTAAGTGACTGACTCGACCTTGAAGTCGAGTGGGGACTGCCAACAGGAAACTCTGGTGTGGTCTAGTCCATGAGGTCATGAAGAGTCGGAAGCGACTGAATAAATAAACAACATAAACATTTATGGAGCATGAGAGTATGATTTAGAAATTATGATTGTATTGGTAGAATTGCCAGGTGCTTTAAATGAGCCCTTTTGATGTTTTTTTTTTATTATTGCACGTCCTTTGAGAGATATACAATGGACTGAAAATGCAAAAAGTAAAACAACTGGAGATAGCAGAATATAAAACCATAAATTAAAAAACACTGTAAAATATAAAAATCCTGGAACATCTAAATAAAGATTAAGATTAAGCAAAACAAAGGTTCAGAGATTGTAAAAGCACTAAAATAATTTATTAAAAACTAGCTTGGGGACCTGGCGCTGCCCAGGTTATTTGAGAAAGGAATTGTCCATCAAGTTTGGTCTTTATCAGTTATTTATATGGCTCGCAGTGCTCTTAGTGAGTTAGTGAAGGTACTGCGAGACCTATCATCTGCGGTCCATCCTCCTCCAAACTGCGCCAGGATGGAGAGTGGGTCATGGGGACTCTGCATGCCAATTTTGGTCTTGATCAGTCATTGGATGAGGTTTGCAGCAGTCTCAGGAAGTGAGTGAAGTTACTTCAAGTCCCATCATCCATGGTCCATCCTCCTCCAAACTGCAGTAGGATGTAGAATGGGTCATGGGTGCTCTGTGTGCCAAGTTTGGAGTTTATTGGTCATTGTTGGGTACCGGAGTGGTCTCTGGAAACCGAAGTGCTGGAAAGTACTACAAATATCATCATCCATTGTCTGCCATCCTCCAAACCGCAGTAGGATGTAGAGTGAGTCTCAGGGGGCAAATTTTGGTCTTTATCGGTCTTTGTTGGGGGCCACTGTGCTCCCTGGGAACTAAGCCGTTTGAAAGTACTACAAATCCCATAATCCGTGGTCCACCTCCCCCAAACAGCACCAGGACGTAAAGGGGTTCACGAGGGTTATATGTGCCGTTTGGTCCAGGTCAGTTGCTCGTGCAAGTCTCTGTGGCCTGTGAAAGTGAGAGCCAATCAGAAAGCTGCCACATACACTTCCGCCCTTCCTCCACATACATACATACAAACAAACAATGACTTTTATTATATATATAGATATCTGGAAGAGTAAAATGACATTCATCTGGTATCAAAAAGGGTGTGATGTGAAAGGGCTTTAGACAAACAGTGTATCACAAAATGATCTCTTCCTTTTATTTGCCGGTTTTGTTTAATTGATACAAAGCTATGGAGGGACAAGTAAGAAAATATAAAAGGAAACACTGCTTTTTATGCCCTGAATTGCAGGGGGAGCTATTTTCTTTGTTTTTTCTTCATTAGCTTTTAAAGAGCAGCACATGATAGATTAGAGCCATAAAAAAGCAGTTGTGCAGAAAATTTTGCATAATAACTCTTATTTCTTGCCACTGGATGTACCGATAGGAATTGTAATCCAATGATGAAAAGGTAGCTTTGGATTTGCCATTGACAAAGATGTAGACTGTCCCATACACAAAAATTTACACGTCATGGCCTGCCTTATAAAAAGCCAGGTATGATTAGTGGATCCATTGTTGTGTGGCCGATAAATCCTTTCAGAGGTTTATGGCCACTTTTCTCATTGCTGTCCTGGTTTACTCATGAGCAATCCAGGGACTGGACCCTGCTCCCAGAAGAGATTTAACACAAGAAATACTCCCATATGACCCAGAACATTTGCAAGGAAACAGCTGTATATCTGAGAGTAAATTCACCTCCTCTATGACCATGGTACACTGGCTCCCCTTGAAGAAAGCTGTGGGCTTTCCACAGAAACATGAATGCATGCACACACTGGCCATGTTTAGATACCAAATTTATTTTATTAAAAGGGTTGGCAACTGTAATCATTGGGATTATATTAAAAGTACATTTCACATAAACTTACATTCCAACTAGACAAGTTATTCAAAGTATTTGGATTGCCATCTGTTGTAATTTAAAATACTTTGTCATTTCTCATTCATGTCTGAGACTCAAGTATTCATAATATGACTAACATAGTAAGCAACTGAATTTAGCTAACTTTCTCTATCTTCTTTATATCCTTAGCCCTGGGACAAATTATGCTGTATGTGGATGGGATGAATGGTGTAATAAATCACAATGAAACAATCCAGTGGCTGTACACCCTCATTGGGTCAAAGGTAAGAAAGAACTCACACACTGATAGTTCATGCTGAATTTACGCTAGATTTCAAAAATATTTACATACTTTTTACATGTTTATCTTTAAAAAAATAAGAGGAATGCCATCTTGGTAACTTAATACATTTCACGAGAATGATTTCTCCAACAAGAACTACAAATATAAAGGAGAGTGCTATTTCCCTTTCCTTTTTCAGTAAAAAACTCTCTCTTTTCTTAGTGCTAATTATGGACCAGTCTGTGCATTCAAGCTATTTAAAAGTGCTATTGATTAATTTTAATGAAAGGCTATCAAGTTAACATACATCTTTCCATGCATGTTAAGTGCTCTTGAATGTGCTTCCGAAACAGAAGTGACACAGAGAAGACCCACTCAGGTGCACCTACACTGTAGAATTAAAAGCAGTATAACACCACTTTAACTATTTTGACAGTTGTACTTTCTAACCAATTCTGCTATAGAGTGCTGGTGCTTCACCAAACTATGATTCCATAGCATTGGGGTCAAACAAACTTATTTTTTCTTTGTGGTCTCTATGAATGCACACATATGGCATGACTGTGCCTGCATAGGCTTCAACAGAAAGCTTCCCAAGCTGAATCTATGCACTTTTTGGCAGTAACTCTGTCAACTCCTCTCATGGCATAAAAGGCGCCCTGGCCGTACGACCCCCAGTTTCTTTTTTTTCACCGTGCAGCTCTCTTTAAAACTCCATTGAGAATGTAGTCAACATGCTTCAAATGGTGCTCCCAATGTGCCTCGAAGAATCCAGACTCGGATGGTCATGCAAAGTGTTTCCTTTGTCTGGGAGAAGGCCACGTTGTTGGGTCTTGCCGCCATTGCCAGGCATTCACATCCCAGGCAAGAAAGAACAGAGCAGCATGCCTCAAGGCTCTGCTGTACCAGCAATCCTCGGAGCCTTCAACTTCTTCAGCCCCTCCAGGCCGGCACCACCAGTAGCTCGATCAAAAGGCTCAGTGGCCTCTAAGAGCTCAATGTCTTACGAGCATTGAAAGCACCATGATGCATGAAGAAGCATGATGACTGTGCTTATCAACCTCATCCAAGACCTCTGTCTAGCAACATTTCTTTGATCTCGCAGAGATCAGTCCAAATGAACACCGCCACTCCGCCATCCAAATCCTCGATGCAGATAGCATTTAAACGGGCCCACGAGGACAATAGGCGAGTACTATCAGACAGTGCTGCACTAATGCTGATCCCACCGACCCTGGGAAAGTCACTAGCTGTACTCTCCAAGGCAAACAGACGAACGCCCCTTCTAACACAGAAGGAAATTGCTTCAACTCTGTTGGCCTATCAAGAATTGCGAATTATGGAGTATTATGGGTGCATACCTACAAGTACTTTAGGAAAAGGCCCAACCATTCCATGCCAAACTGTCCGATGAAGATTGAGCAGTCCTGGCCACGCTCCAACAAGAAGCGACCTCCCTGGCACACCATCAAATTCAGATGGCTAAACACACAGGAGACACCGCTGGAAAGATGATTGCCCATGCCATAGCTATCCGCCGACAAGCCTGGCTCAGCTCCTCTGGCCTCTCTACCTCATCAAGGCAAATGATCAAGGATCTCCTCTTTGATGCCTTGGGTCTCTTCAATGCTGGCACCGATTACAATCTTAAATCTAATCAAGATTTTAAGTTGCTGACATCAAAGTGGTGTACAACCCCAACCACAAACACAAAAGATTCATTGGTGTCAACACTGCTTTTGTAAAGACATCAAGGGTACCGCCAAAACTACAAGCCTGCCTTCTCCACCCCTCCACAGCAGCCTCACTGACTGCAGCAAGCCCCAGAGCACCGCAGCCAGCCCAGCATCTCCAATAACCAGTCAAAGCGTCGAGTTCGACGGTGTGACTCACGATACCATATCCATCTTAACTACTGCTGCCACCTTCACACCAGTTCCACCACCCGCATACAAACCTTACATCTCTGACACTCGATGCGGAGACCGCCTTTCTCGCTTCCTGCCTGCCTAGGAAGCTATTACCTCATATTCATGGGTACTAAAAAATATACAAAATGGCTACGCCTTAGAGTTCGAAGACTTAGCCCTGACAGGGCACATCCTTGACATTCAATCCTTGCCAGAAATCCTCAAGGAAGTGCACTTCCTGCTCACAAAGGGAGTCATAGAACCTACCCCATCAAAACTGGATATAAATGCCTTTTTCTCTATGTATTTTGCCATTCCCAAATGGGACGAAGGCCTCCATCTGATCCTCAGCTTCAGAGACCTGGACTTACACATTTGGTTGACAAAGTTGGTTGATGGTCACAGTGTTGTCAATCCTGTTGCTCCCTCACCAAGGGGACTGGTTTGTGTCCATCGACCTACACGATGCATATTTCCACATAGCAGTCTGCAGCTCTCACAGACAATTTCTCTCCTTCGAAGTCTTTCACCAAACCTACCAATTCAAAGTACTCCCCTTTGTCCTCATCACTGCCCCAAGAGTTTTCACCAAGTGCATGGCAGTCGTTGCCACACACTTGCGACAGTTCTCCAGCACGAACTGCATTCTCACAGCACCTGCCTGGCCAAGTCAAGTATGGTATCTAGCCCTGCTCAACATGTCTCGAGGACATGATCTTCCTCTGCTGTCCCATCTCCTGACCAGGGAGTGGGGGATGATTCTTCAGCCAGATGTCCGATCTCTCCACCTTACCACATGGAGGATCACAACATAACTCACTTCCAGTCCGCCCTCCAATCCATCTTGAGGATGGCCCACAAGCTACTGATGAGAAAGGCTTGCTCAAGCTTGCTCAATTTCAAACCTTTCTTCAGTCCTGAGTAGACCGTCCACCAATCTCATCATTTGAGTGTCCTTGACTTCCTATTTACCTTTACAGTACAGAATTTCGCCCTCTCCTCCATCAAGTCGTACCTGGCAGCAATGTCATCGGCTATGCAACAACAGGGCCAGCCATTGTTTTTCTCAAACCACCTCATAGACATTTTTGAGAGGATACACAAACCTGCATCCACCAGTTTGTCCACCAACTCTGGGCTGAAGTCTCAAACTCGTTCTCTCACAACTCTGCGGGGGCCCCTTCCAGCCCCTTTCGATGGCAGACCTCCGCCTCCTCTCATGGAAGGTGGCCTTTCTTGTCGACATCACCTCAGCACGTCACTCCTCGGAGCTAGCCAAGCTCCAGATCAATGAGCCCTACCTTCTTTTTCACAGGGACCGAGCCATCCTCCACACCGACATCACTTTCCTCTTGAAGGTGGTGTACGCCTTTCAGATCAGCCAGGACATTGTCCTACCAACCTTACAGCTAGAGAAGCACCTGCATCTCCTAGATGTCAGGAGAGTGCTACTCTTCTATAAGGACAGGACTCTTTGTACTTGAAAGTCCCCAAGACTTTTTGTCTCCTATGCAGTGGACAAACTAGGTGCTCCAGTCTCCTCCCAATGTTTGTCCCATTGGATTTCTTTGCTATCAGCTCATCTGACACCCACCACCCACCTCTATCCGGCCAAGATCTATGAGGGGCCTTGCAGCATCGACAGCCTTGCTTAGGGGTATTCCTTTTGATGCTATCAGGAGATCTATTCTCTCCTCATGTATTGCCTGACCATGTATTGTGCATGGACTCAAATAAGACACGGACTCACTTTGTTCTTTATGGTAAAAGGTTTACTGTACAATTATGAGGTTCTTCCTCAGTGATAAGCTTCTTAAATTCATTGATGATGTATTACCCAATGATAATGTAGTTTCTTCTGCTATTTCAATGTTACTGTATATTGCACATCACTAATGCCCTTTGTGGTCAATTTACATATGTTGTATGTTAAAATTCTTTTTCTCACTCAAATGCCAATGCTTACTACCTCAAGAAAAGCCAGGGCCTTGGGATTCTGAACACTGGTTTTGTTCTCTCATAAATATGTGTTGACTTTCACTAGCCTATTATCCTACCTCACAAAATTTCTAGGACCTCATGTTTCGGTCCTCCCTGTATTTTTTCTATGCCTTGCATTTGACATGATTCACTAGCAGGCTTTGTTGCCTGGTTTATATTTCTCTTTCTTTATTGCAAATAAAGAAAGAATTCTGTATTCACTTATTTGGTGTCAGTTTGGCATGTGTCCTGCCTACCTGAACCTTAGTTTGCTAGTCTCCATATTGGTGAATTCACAGAGACCATGAAGAAAAAGGTCAGGTTGCTTACATGTACCCATGTTTTTTTTTAGTGATACTCTGTGAATCCACACAAACCCACCCATTCCTCTCCTCTCATGCAAACCTCTCCCTTTCTCATTGCCTCTGCAATGAACTGGGGAGCATGTAGCCAGAGCACCTTTTATGCCCTGGGAGGAGTGGGAGAGGTTACTACCAAAAATTGAAAAGATTCAGCTTGGGAAGCTTTCCGTTAAAGCCTGCTCAGACACAGTTACTCCATATGTGTGGATTCAGAGTATCACTTGAAGAAATGTAGTTACAGGTGAGCAACCTGACCTTCTACAGTGAAGATGCACCCTATGTTGTGGTACCCAGTTTATTAAATGCTCTTTCCAGGATTACTATCACCCAGTTAACTTTTTTTCACATTGGACAAAACTCTTATGTTCCCAAGCTTTGTAGAAATCTGTGCTGGGTTTTTTTTAAAAAAAAAATCCTTTAAAAACATTTAAAAATTGTGTTGGAAATAGTCTTGATTGCTGTTAATTTTATTCTGTTGTATTGTTTGCTTGTTGCGGCTGTTTATTGCTGCAGTATTTTTGCATTCTAAACCATGTGGAGAATTAGGCTCAACTTCGAAACCCACATCAAGTGATACATCTTTAAAAAAGATTATATATTTTGATTGACATGAACATTTTGCAAGAAACATTTATTCATATAATGATATTGATGTACTGATTGTACTAATGTGTCCCTTTTGTACATACTCTACTCTAAAATATATTTTGTCCATTTTTAAAAAATTGAGAACTGCATTGCAAAATTAA